TTCTTGGTTCTGCTTCTGCCAAACTCTCTGCTGGAAAGTTCCCAGTTCTCTCCCGTCAGCAAATTTCCAATTCTCTGGACAATCTCTTCTTTCAGTGGGACTGTGGGCTTTGATCCATCCACTGCCATGGCACTTACCTCTTCAGATGGCCAAGACGGAGGTCCCAAGTTCAAAACGTACAAGCATTCTGGGTGCATGGAAACAACGCCACAATAGGGCGAGAACATAGCTGAATGTCCGGAAGGAGGTATGAAGTGGTGACCAGATGCTCTGCCCAAAGGGGGCAGTTTCTACTTAGCCCCAGGAAATTATTGCCACAAAGCATGGAGAAAACTAGTGTGGCCAGATCTGAGTTTTTAAAAGAAGCTGGGAATCTGGACTTTTCAGTCAATCCCCTGATTTTTAGATAAGGTAACTAATTCAGAGTGAGAGACAAAACCAAACCTCAAAACAAGCAAAAAAAAAATGTGTGTGTGTGTGTGTGTGTGTGTGTGCATGCCCGCACGTGGATACCAAACAGAAACATATCCGTAGGTCCCACTCACCTATGTATTCCATTTTGTTAGGGGAACCTCTGCCTTAGGATGTAGAGGTGGTGGGTAGGGTTACTGCATACATTTCTTGCATCTTCTGGGGCTCTTTACACGTCCCAAACGCTAAGAAACGAAGTGTCGTCAAAGGTTTCCCAGGTCGCTAATGCTTTGCCAAGTCTGCCTTGTGGAATTTAACGACACAGAGACACTTTAACATGTTAAATACTTTATTCACATTGTTTACAAACTATATCCACCTGGAAAACACGTGAATCCAAAAATAGATTATTTTACAGTAATTCACATTTTTTTAAAACACGTTGCTTTTGAAGTTAAACTCTACGCACGGAGGTCCTCAGCCTGTATCCTGTTTCAGTGCCTTGTCACATGGAAATCCCTGCTCGGGTGGAGCAGCAGTCCTAGGGGCAGGCCACCTCATTGTAGGTCACTAATGGCTCCCCCCCCCCCCCCCCCCCCCCCCCCCCCC